AGAGTTGCCATGCCAAAAGAATGTTCTAAATTATTTTCAAAAAATAATAGAGGGAGCTGCTCTGTAAGTGAGATGGTGGAGAAGGTTGATACCACTAATAAAGGGAGGGCTACTGAGAAGGGAAATAGAAGAAATCTAAAAGAGACATTTCAAAATCTGACAAAAGCTAAAGGAAAACATGATTGAATCCTTCTTTTTTATCAACTAACCTATGAAGTTGTGAGAGATTTTTATTTGTTCACCAAAAAAAGGTACCAAATAAAGTATTAAAAAAATTTAACTGAAACCTATAGTCAATAAATTGTTCTCCAAAGTCCATTCTATATCACCAAAGCCAAATCTGGAAAAGAAACTAACGAAATAGCATTTCCAATGCTTTATCATTCTAATTTTTTTAGTAGTCAACCAAGCAAAAATAAGAGTGTGATTGTTAAGAGTGTAATATGAAGTTTGGTTGTAGAGGTGATGGACTACGAATCTGTTACAAGTTTATCAAAGAAAACCCAAGACTAAGAATGATTAACACGATTATTCTCTTCTTTATTTTTTACTAAATACTACAAATACTTAAAACCACCCCTAAAAATGCAAGTAAAGAAAAACAAAAAGTCAATAGAATTAAAACCAACAATAGATGCAATTAAGTTGCCCACAATAGATGCAATATTGTCTTCACGATAAAAAAAACACAAAAAACTAGATATAAACAAAAGTATTAGTTTAAAAAATGAACAATAAGAGAACGAATTTAGAATGCATAATAAAATTACTGAAGGAAGAAGATGAAAACTAGCCCTTAATATAAAATAAATAAACAATAACCTGCTATGTAGCAATCAAATTAACGCAAGGCAAAATTGGGAACATGACATTGAGAAGAAAATCTACAACTCAAGGCTAGGAATTTTATAATTTGAAAAGTATCCATAGAAATTGAGCTACATCAAATCTTTTGGTTGTATAGTTCTGATGTTTGCACAATCCACTAATGTCATAATTTTAGGAAACATTCAAAATTTTGTAATTATTGTAAAATCAAGTCGAATTCATATTTTAGCAACTGGGTAAACACCAATCATACTATACAATTTTATGCAACAAAGCAACATCAAGCATTTATATCCAATGATCACACTGGGGGTAGCATCACATAAGTTAATAGTTATTTGCCATCACCAAACCTATAAAAGAGCATAAAAAGATAATAAATAATATTAAAACAAAATATACCCACTTCATAAAAAATTTCAAGATACAACCTCGGTACCTTATGTAGTGTAGATTGAATGATCCACCTGCTGTTGAGTGACAATAATTTTAGTGCTTGATTCACCTGCATATGTAGACAAAGCATTATACACACACTGGAGCTCCCTTGCGACAAGTATGTAGTATAGCTGATAGGCTAGTTGGAGAAAGGATTGGAGGAGTTCCAATAGTTGTGCTTTTGGGCATGGACATTGTGGGTATGTGAGAAAAACATTCTTAACATAGAAACGAAAAGAGGCTTAGCGAGGCATTTTGTAGTGGTAAACAATGAACTCACACCAACTATACAAGGCCTTCCTATTAGTTAAAAAAACCCGATGTGAATGGTGTGAGTGGGGGGCTCTGTATTAATATTACCAATGCCTCCCCTCTCGCTGATCTGGGCCGTCTGTTGTTGTACTTATGGACACGTATATGGATGGAGTTAAAAGGAAGTCACACCCGAGCCCAAGTGTGAGTGGTGTAAGTACTTTTGATTCCTTTGCTAGATAATGCTACACATACATATTAAACATCATCTTTGAAATTTTTAATAAATTACAGCCACATACATTAAATTTTGAATAAATCCTAAACAATAATGTCAAAAAAGAGGGAAATAGAGAGAGAGAGAGAGAGAGAGAGAAAGGCCTGTAATACGTGTACAAAGCATTATATATACACCTCCACACACATATATTAAACATCATTTTTGAAATTTTTAATAAATTATAGGCACATACATTAAAATTTCAATAAACCCTAAACCAACAATGCTAGAAGAAGGGGAAACAGAGAGAGAGAGAGAGAACCTGTGATGTGCGGCTATGACGATGTTGATTTGTGCCGATGGCGGTGGTAGTCGCAATGTCGTCCATACGGTAGGCTACGATGAGGGGGACGATTTTTGTGAGGTTTAGTGAAGGATGGTGTGTATGTGATGTAAAAGTGTGCAGGTGTGTTGTTTAACAGAGACAGGGCCGCGCGCGAAAATAAGGGAATTGGCGCGCGTTGAAAATTCAACCTTCAGCAACTAATTTCTTTATTTGTCAGTAAAGGAATATATATGCCGACTAAATCCTTTTGTAGCCAAATATAAGTCAACAACGACAAATATTTTTGTTGCCAAAAGTCCTATTTTGCGACTAATTTTCATTTTAGTCCGGAAAAAACAATATTGCCAATTAATTTTATTTTTTGTAGCCTAAAATGTGGACTAACAGCGACCAATATCCTTTTTAGTCGCTAAAAGTGGAATTTTTGCCGACTAAATTTAAGTTTAGGCCCCAATAAGTAATAGTTATCGATTAAAATATTTTAGTAGCTATATCTTGAACCAACGCCAACAAAGTTAATTTTTAGTCACCAAAAATTGTACTGTCGGTGACTAAATAATTTTTAGTTGCCCAAAGTGTGATTTGTTGTAGTGCAAAGAGAGCCAACTGAAAATCCAGCCACTATTCGCACCTCCCAAGATTTGAACCTAGGTCACATCTGTGGAGAGAACTGCTTTCTCTACCAAACCACTACCCCCAGTAGTTAATTAAATCCCTTTTGGACCATTTTACCGTTGATTTTTTTTTCAATTTCTTAATGAATCTTAACAATTGAATTAAATTGATACGAGGTTGAAATTTATAGGAAAAAATTGAAACTACATTAATCAAAATGAGAAACACACAGATGCAATTTCTAGATTCTTGCTGTCTTCATGTTCTTCATTCGGGTTGCAACAGAGTTTCCACTTCTGTGTCGAACAATCAAAGCCCATTACCTCTTAAAAGCCCATCCCCGCGTGATTTAGAAACCCATTCAAACCAGCCCAAGAAAGTGTATGAAAAGGAGACCATTTATATGGACAGGGAGACCAACGAGCCCAAGAAGGTGAAGTGGATCATAATTGGTTTGGCCTAACCAATTACCCAATTCCACCTCAAAAAAAAAAAAAAGAGAAGTTAAAAACCCATTCAAACCAGCCCAAAAAAGTGAAATTGGTCATAATCGGGTAGCCTTAACCAAACTCCCAATTCCAACTATAAGAAGTCACCCATCCAAATTTTTAAGTACATGAAATCCAATTACAGAATCAAATACAATTCTTTTACTTGAATTTAAAATTGTATCCGTTTCTTATTGGGTGGTGTGAATCCAAATAAGGATTGGACACTAATCACATGACCTGAATTTTGGAATTAGACAATTTTTTTTATATTTATGTATTTGTGATCTGAATTCTAAAGTAAGAATATTTTTTATTTTATTTTATTTTATTTTTTTGTACTTGCATCATTTTTTCTTAATTTTTTGTGCATTTATAATTGAAAGAACTATGTCTTGTAACTTGTTTTTGTAGTAAATTTCTACAATTGCCACTATCCGAAAATGAAAGAAAAGATATGTTACTAGGTGGTCCTCAATTAGTTCTCTTTCCCTTTTATCTAGTTGTAACGGGATCTTCTTTTCTTCTTGTTTTAGTAGGAAAAATTCATGTTTCCTTGAGCTAATTTTGATTATTACCAAGATGGGAAAATTTATTTCTATCACAATTCCTTTTTAATCTTTTGCTACTTTAAGAACATATCTTAAAAAGGGCACCAATGGGGGTTGGTCCAAATGGAAAGGGATTTGGGTCGCTTAAGCAAAGGTCTCGAGTTCGAGCATTTGTGGATGCAACAAATCCCCTTGGGAGAGGACCCCGTATATGCGCCCGGTAACTTCCTCGGCGGATTAGTCCTGGATCCAAAAAAACCTGGGGATACCGTGGGAGACCTAAAAAAAATTCTTAAAAAGAGTCGAATTATTATAGTAAAAGTAAATATGTCCTAAAACACAACACTAATATAAAGTCATTTGCTCATCAGTGTATAACATATTTATACAGAGATGGGTTATAGTGAGTTTATCCCTTTTCTTTCTTTTTTTTTTTTTTTCAAAAATAATTCTTCCACACTTTTACCATGCATTTCACTACATCAAAGTACACCCTCTTCACAATCCGAGGATAAAAGGGTGAGAAAGAGAGATTGCAATGGAAGGGATGGGTAAAGTAAGAATTGAGGGCGAGTGAGGGGTTATGATGGTAGGTAAGGGATGGTGAGAGAGAGATGTGAAGAAGGGCATAGCTAAAAGTGAGACAGTTGGCCGACAGTAGTCGTGACTGTTAGAGTTGCAAAAAATGAAAAGAGAAGAGAAAGAGGAAGAGAAAAAATGGTATTTCTAGCTTATTAATTAATGCTGCCTTTTTTATCACTATCATCTTTCTCCAATTTCCCTCTATGTTTTCTTGTATGGAAAATTGTAAATTAATGGTGACTTTACAAAATATTTATAAATTTTAATTATTGAAATTAATAAAATTTATTATCAATTTGAATATGTTTTTCCAAACTTTCATTGAAATGCAACTTTTCTTTTCAATGAGAAATATTACGATTTCAAAAAATACACCTAAAATTTATCTAAAATATTAATATTTAATTCAAATTCATTTTATACATAAATTCACAATACATAATTTTGATCTCCACCATATAATCTATTATTGGCCAAAATGTGGGTCCTTCACATTCTCTGTTTGTCAATTGGATGTAAAACAGACCTCGATTCCCTCGTCCCACACTTCGATCAAGCACTGACACAGATCCAAACCACTAATATATCCTCAATCCAACGGCTTACAACTTCGATCCGCGTACTTCTTCGTAATTGGTCGAATTTCAAAACCTCCAACTACTATATATACACACAGAGACCGACTCTCTCTGCTCCAGCACCCACCTCTCTCTCTGTCTCTCTAAAGTTCCGATCTTTATCTCTCTACAAATACAAATCCCTATTCTTTGAAACCATCATCATCAATGGCCGGCCGAGGCAAAACCCTAGGATCTGGAGCCGCCAAGAAGGCCACATCGAGGAGCAGCAAGGCCGGTCTGCAATTCCCGGTCGGCCGTATCGCCAGGTTCTTGAAAGCCGGCAAGTACGCCGAGCGAGTCGGCGCCGGAGCTCCGGTATACCTCGCCGCCGTCCTCGAGTACCTCGCCGCTGAGGTACGCCCTCTCTCTCTCACATCTTCTAATAGGTTTGGATTTCACAACTGAAGCTAGGGTTTCGAATTTCGGTCTCATTTTTCTCTCTTTTTATGATTGAATTGAGGTAGGGTTTGCAATTATATGGTTTCGAATTTGGGTCTCATTTAATTTGTTTAATTAAAATCAGGGTTTTTAATTCTAGGGTTTCGAATTTGGGTCTCATGTAGTTTTTTAATTAAAGCCAGTGTTTTTCAATTCTAGGGTTTCGAATTTGGGTCTCATTTCTCTCTCTATTATCTTCTAATCGGCTTGAAATTCAGCTAGGGTTTCGTATTTGGGTCTCACTTTTCTCTCTTTTATCTTCTAATCGGTTTGAATTTGAGCTAGAGTTTTTAATTGTAGGTTTTGAATTTGGGTCTCATTTAATTTCTTAATTAAAGCTAGGGTTTTCAATTCTTGGGTTTCGAATTTAGGTCTAATTGATTAATTGTGTGTTTATAGGTGCTTGAATTGGCTGGAAATGCTGCGAGGGACAACAAGAAGACCCGGATTGTGCCTCGGCACATCCAGCTTGCTGTGAGGAATGACGAAGAACTCAGTAAGCTTCTTGGAGATGTGACCATTGCGAATGGTGGTGTTATGCCAAACATTCACAACCTTTTGCTTCCGAAGAAGACTGGTGGGTCGTCGAAGCCCTCTGCTGATGATGACAGTTGAATTGTGAAGAACTGGGTTGGGTTTGATTCAGAGTTTCCCACAGTCTTTATTAGTATTTTAGGTTTAAATTAGGGTTTGAGATGTATTGTTGTTTTAGTGGTTAGTAGGTAGTAGCGTTTGGTAATGTGAATATCAATCAACCTTCTGTTTTCTCAACAGATGGAATTACATTGATGGATTATTGAATGAATGAATGTCAACTGTGGTTCACTTCTCTTGATCCTTTGTTTATGATTTGAAATTTGAAAATTGGGTTGCAATGATCTTCTTGTTTGAAGAGTTTGTTGGCTGTGAAATTGGTTGTTGAGGAATGGGTATTTCTTGATTGCTCAATTGATGCTGTGTAGGTTGAGTAAGGGACAGGGTTGTGTTGAAATTGCTGTTGATTTTATACTTCGTAAGTTTCAACTCTATGGTGACTTTCTATTGGTACTATCTAGGGATGGATGCTTTTGGTAATTTTTTGGATTGATACCAATTCAAAACTTGTTGGTACTCTGTGTGGGATTGATCTTTTAGGTTATTTATGGTTTAGTAATATTGGATTGGCTTTCTTCATCTGTTGAGTCATTGAAAATGACTCTTTTTGGTGGAGCTTGTTTGATGTGTTGTTGGGTTGTCTCTTCGGTAGGGGATGTTTGCCTAGCATTATGAGTTGTGGGAAAATGCTTTCAACCTCACCAAAGACTGACAAAGATAGGTGAGAATCTTACCCCCAAGAATCCTCGTCTCTCTTTTGTAGAAATTTGTAATTGGGGAAATTTTAATAGAGTACTATATACTGTATGTTCTAGTTATGAATAATATATTTTGTGGTCATATTTATGAATTATGTGGGATTTATAATAATGTTATGGTAATTATAGTAACAAGTGGTGAGAGTTGCTACATTAGTAGTAAACATTGACATATAAGATGGTGAACAAATTGTGGTAAGAAAAAATGTTTTATCTTAAGATTATTGCGTGTTTGATTGTGATTGTCATATTTGTGGTAAACTTGATTATGTGTTTTTTTTTTTTTTATTGTTGAGTTATTTGTTGTTGTTGGGTTTCTTTTCTTTGATGTTTGAGTTCTTTGTTTTGTTGTTGGTTTCTTTTTCTTTTCACTACATAAATTTCAATAAAAATTTAAGAAGATTGTTCTTCCATACTATCAAACGTGACAATAAAAAATGATAACATTCTGCTCAACGTAGATACCATAGAAGGCATTTTATTAAGAACCAAAAGAATCAGCCACTTTACATAACAACAGAAATTTGATAGTTTCCTCTAAACATAACAATGACGACAAGATAGTAATCCCTATACTTTGAAAGAATTTACTAACTACACCTTTAATTCACAACCATTTAAAAAATTATTAACAAAATTGCAAATATACAGGTATGAACATGAATAAAAAATACACACAAGACATTCCAACCCATCATGCACTGGTGGAGGTCTGCGAAGGCAGAATCAACATTCAAAGCACAGAACATATGTCCAGTTGGGCCTCCATACAACACCAAAGGTTGAAGTGTCAAATAATATCGTGTTGATAGCTTCTTCAATCGGGTGTATATTCACTTAAATTTGCCAGCAAAGTGCGAACACCGCCACAGGTTCAACAGCCTTCTCACCGATCTTGTAGCTTGGAGCAACTACAGATTGTACTGACAGAGGAATCAACATTGTATCAATCTCGTTGGCACATCCATTGAAACTCTGAGCCACCTGAGTACATTTCCAAGACGGGAAAAGTAATTTTATTAGATTTACTTCTTTTAACCAAATACTTAAAGGGTAACGGGAAAAACCACACACACCAAAAAAAGAAAAAGAAAGAAAAGTTTCTTCACAAGTCAGCTATACCTGTTCCTAACAAATCTACAAGTCATCATCTGAACTAGAATAATCCATTCGTCGGTCTTTGATAGCTGGGAATAAGCGCTGACGAAGATCAGGAGATTGGTGGGGATCTGGAGAAGGTGGTACTGTCGAGCCCTCCCTCTTTGGTGTCCTATTTGGCTTCTTTGGCAAATCTTTAATGTCTTTACACGCCTTATCTAACATTATCAGAAAATCCCGAACAATAATAAACAATCGCAAACCCTCATCCTTCCCTGCATTCCCATGGAAGTAATCTGCTGTGCTCTGGACCAGCGTCATTATTCTATTCTCATCCTCGAGCAAAGACATGATATCAATCTCTGCGTTCTGCACAAAATTCTTTAGAACTTGGTTGAATCCACTTCCTTCGTCTATGTTTTTCATATCTGAGTTCAAAAAATCCCGGGCTTTCACAAGTTGATGACCGAGTTTCGCAACATTTCCTGTTAAGATATCGCCATCCAAAACTGCAGCTTTCTTGACATTCTTGAGCTCGCTGCTCAAGCCTGAAATCACTTGAAGACCGAGGCTACGGAATTCATCTTCTGAATTGTGTAAAGCATCCTCGAGGAGATCCTCAGACCTGATGCTGGACATACTCTGGCTCTCTCTGGCAACACGGGCAGCCCTTACACCTTCTGATCGGATTATTTCCTGCACAACAAAGTGCAGAAGAGTAGTTTTTCCATCTGTTCCTTTCACATCTGATAATTTCAAAAGCGTGTCGAGTTTAAATGCATGTGCACCGCCACGGAATGTTCCATCATTCATGCGATTGCCAGTTTTAAGAACGGCTTCGAGGAGCTTGAGGAATAACCGACTCTTCTTAAGTTCTGTGCAAGCAGCCTGCAGTGTAAAACAGATATACCACCTAAATTAGACATCTTTATGTATAATTCATACACATGAACGAGAAAACACATCAACATGACAAGTGGACATCTTTTCAAACTATTCAATCTTAACTTTATTTATTAATACATTCCTAAGCGCACACGCACACGCACACGCACATATTTATATATACATATATGTACATGCATATATGGAAAAAGGAAAAAAGAGATAATTTACTCCATTCCACTATGCTAGTTCTATTTATCAGTGATGGTTTAAATAGATATCCAACTAGTAATATAATCTACCCAGTACAGAGAATTTGACTATTAAGCGTAGTGTTATTTATTCATCACATCACAACAAGGGAACCAACTTAATCAAGTCCTAGGTCCAACACTTAACAAACATATGATTCCTTTAGAGCCAAAAATTAATCGCAATCCAAATTTTCCAATTCCCAACTGACCTTGCGATACAAATCAAGAAATGTATACTTTTCCTCAAAATTTTCATTGAAAGGTCAAATTATATTGCTCTGGACAGTCAAACTACCATTACGTACCTGAAAAAATTGAGGAAAACACTACAACCAGAGAGATGTAGAAACAAATAAATGATGCATTCCTGATCTCACCTCAAAGGTTGTAAAGGACTCTTTAATTATTGTAGCATCCTCCTGAAGGGTACACATAAAAAGCAAAGTTTCCAGCCTTCTAAACGCAAATGGGATGTCGACCAAGGCTTTTAGGAACCGGTCAGCAGGCCCAAGTCGAGAAAGTTCACCACTGAAAAGCCTAAGTTTCAGTTCTTCTTCTGATGTTGGTGCCATCTTTAACAAAGTCTGAAGGAGCTCTGACGGAAGCTCATTTCCTGATTAAACTAACAAGGTTAGACATTGTTGTTGATGTACTAAAATATGCACACAAGTGTGAATGAAATCCATATATATATATATATATGGGTCTTCCTAAAAAATGTCCCTGGGGCACAAGAAAAGACAAAAAATAAAGAACATTAGGCGCTTTTTTTCATTTAATTTAAAACACTTTTCTTTAACTTCATAATTTTTTTAATCTTTTCACTTAATTCCAAAGTACTTTTTCCAATATTAAGCAATGCCCCAGGACAATTGTTAGCATTTGCTTTTATAAATATATATATATATATATATATAAATTTGAAATTGAAATGGTATGCCACCATTTAAGCATATTCAATTCAGTAACGCATATTGACAAGTTTAAGTTAGGAATGGGGCCCAACAATGATATCAAGTTCTCCAACAATATCATATCTACCCACTATCTATCCTACAACGCATTTCCTGAGGTCTGACTATAGGATGTAGAGGTAGTTGGGATACCCCCATTGAACCAAGGGGATCAAGCCACTTATCCTAGGCTGTGCTAGCCTCCCCATGGTTCAGTGACCACTAGAAGGAAGCCTCCATGCACGCAGTGAAGAAATCTCATCTGAGCCTCCTACTCCTCCGACTATACACAAAGTTACCACCCTCTCTCTCCTAAGATTGCCGTCGGTCTTTCCTCCACCTCTAGTGGTCTCCAACTAGCTTAGTGCTTACATCTTTCCAGAGGGCTCCCCTCAGCCACATCACCATCCACCATCCACAAAGGGTAAATTGGTCATCTATGAAGCATGGGCACTTCGAAAAACATGTCGTACCCGTACCGGGTACTTACCGCGGTATGGTACTTCTGCATACGTACCGGGTACACGAAACACGCACTCAAATTTTTTCTTTTTAATTTTTGGCGTACTCAAACGTACCAAGTATATACCCAAGTTGTACTTCAGTCGAAATAAATTTTTTTTTCACTACAGAGATAAAATTCCTTTAACTAGACTTCTTTTTTATTTTTAGTTTTATACTTAGCATGATTTTAAAATTAAGCTATAGTTTGTAAGTTATTTAATATAATGACATTTAATTTTAGTTTATACCTTTACTTTTAGCACTACAAATTAATTGTAGGTTGGATCTTAATAAATTGAACCATTTAATCAATTTTTACATTAAACAAATATTTTTTTACAAACGTACCAAGACGTACCCGTACCATACTTTTTTTAAATTTTACCGTATCGACGTACCCGTATCGTACCAGTACCAGTAGTCATACCCGTGCTTCATAGTTGGTCATTTAATGAAATATACTGTATGACATTAGCAAAATTTGTTTCTTTACTGACAGCTATTTAACGGCATGGGCCAACTTGTTATGCAAATTTAAAAACTTCATGGAGGCTGGTGTAATTTTGTCAAACTAAGGAGGCACAAATTGGAATCCTTGGGAGGCCAGTGACAAAAAATCACCACAGTTATGATACGTTCAGTACATAAAAATATCCAGCCAATTTACACAAGGCAACCCTTGTTAAGTTCTCAATTTCTCAAATTCATTATCATGATCCATTTATGCTTTACAAGTTATGATCTATTATGCTAAATAAACAACATATTTTTAACTGATGCGTCAAAAGCAAAAAAAAAGAGAAGAAAATTACCTTCTTGAAGTGCATCACAAACTTCTTCTGTTGTCACATTCAAGGCTCGTAAAAGAATTGATAAATTTTGAGCCTTCTTTGATTCAATAAGTTGAATATACTGCATTGCAGGGTGTTTGGATGATGCCTCTTTCTTGGGATCGTTTTTGTTTTTCTCAGGAGGAGCATACCCAAATAGAGTTTCTATCATCTCTTCATTGAACCTGTAATTTAGTAGAAACATATTTACTGCATTTTCGGCAGCTACAAATATTTACGAATACGTAAGTAAACATCAAAGAAGTACCGAAATCAACTTACTGGAATGACCCTGATTTAAGCTCATGCCAAACCATTGAATGATCGGGGTTGGTTAGAACCTTGTCCCAGAAGAATGGCTTTAGCTTAGTTTTGGTAGAATCAGCTTCACCTCCTTCACCAGCAGTACCTGATGGATGATTTGATCCAAGAGGCGAAAGCTTTAAGCCGATGGTGGGTGGCCGAGGAGGAGGGACACCACTTTTTGGAGGTGGCGGTGGGCGAGGACCAGTCTTTATGCCAGAGGGTATAGGTGGAGGTGGTGGTGGTCGAGGGCCAATCTTTATGCTAGAAGGTATAGGTGGAGGTGGTGGTCCTGTAGGAGGAGGAGCCTGTGGACTACCAGGAGGCGGCTGCGAGGGAGGAGCTGCCTTGCCAGGAGGAGGCTTCAGAGGAGGTGGTTCGGGAGTCGAGTGATCCACCCTGCCAGGTGGAGGCTTTAGAGGAGGTAGTCCAGGAGGGGGCTTAGGAGAAGAAGGTGAGATATGTGCAGAAGCCTCTGCCGATATTTTTGCAGCATCAGCTATGGTTCCCAATGACTGGGTATCAGCTTTTGAAGCATTGAGAATATCAGACTCTAAAACATAAAATTTGTCATCCAGAGATGAAGCCATTTTATTGTTGTTTAAGCTGGTATTGAATGACTGATTATTGAGCTCTCCTTTGTTAATAGAACTCCCAAAAGCAGATGATGATTTATGCGAAGAACCTGAAAAGCCAAAGTTCAAAATTACGTCAGCACATCAAAATGCAATTGAAGTTTTTACAATAACAAGACAAAGAAACTGTGAATCTACTGCCACCAGAATAGTCACTTAAGCTTAAGCTGAGAAGAGGCTTTTCATTGTTCCTTCCAAGTCCAGAGTGACTCCTATAATAGCAGGAAAAGACCAATGCAGCGAAAACAAATGTCACTGCTGCAGTTACAACAACAGCAATAACAACTGCTTGGTGGATGCTATCTTGCTTATTTGACTGTGTAATTGTAGCAGAATTGAGAGTTGCAGAAGAACGCACAGAATCAGGAACCTTAGATATTGAAGATACTGGTTTAAGTTTAGCAGATTCAACGGTTGGGGCTGAAGCAGGGGCTGGTGCAAAACTCTGAAGCAATTGACGTTGTCTATGAGCATCGGTTCTAGCAAACAAGAACTCCAGATACTTGGTGTACCAATTCTTTGTGTGACTCTCTTCTCCAGAAACAAGGTACGGGATATTATTCTTTCTTAAACAATCCAAAAGAGTTCGCTTTCCCTGAGGATGCAAAACGAGGATAGCCTTCTGTATGTCTTCTTTTGCCAACAATGTACTGCTTGAAATGATTCCATTATTGATACCATACTTTTCCTCTGGTACATATAATTCAAGATCTTCAACAGCTTCCTCTGCATTGAGCAGCTCTACCTCGCAATGGACCCATAATTGCACTGCCTGCAGTAACATAATTTCATCTGATATCAGCATCTGCTTACGCATTTGAAGTGGAATGAGTACAAATACAACCAATACTTTAAAATCCATGCAAGGCTTGACTTCCTTAGAGCCTAAAAGCACAAGCTACATTACTAGAAAAAAGACGCATAAACACCAATAATAATTGACAAGTATATAAATATACTCGATCCATGGTATGTGACTATAACAAATATGTGGTCAATGATTTCTTTCTTGGTACTGGAAGGGAATACCAGTCATGATATCTGCATTCCTTTCTTTTTTTCTTAAAAAGCTTACAAGGAAAAGAAAGAAAACATACGTGGTCAAATTAACTATAATATTACAATGGGCACACGCCCATATTTTGTATAAGGATTGATTGTAAGCATGTCGAAGGAAACGTATTAGACTAGCCCAACTCAACATGCCCCAACATGTATGTACTACAAATGATTCTAAAAGACAAGAAGAAAGCCTAGTTCCAATAAAGTAAGAAAATAATTTAAAAATTCACATACAAGTGGTAATAAAACTTGAAAACAGTAAAAAAAGCAGTGCAATAGTAACCTCTATTGACAAAGGAATTATTTCACTAGACTTGGAGAAGGAAAAATGCAGGAGCTGTATGAGGACTCCTTTTCACTGTATGAGGACTTCTTGTCCTCCAAACTTTCTTCTTTAATAAATTTTGTTGTTGATTTTCAAAAAATAAAAAAATGCAGGAGCACAGCATTATAGTAGCCAGCCTAGTTTTTTGGGTTAATAGCACTTTATTCCTGTGGTTTGCCCCAAAAACAAATTATCACCTTATAGTTTAGAAATGTACACATAAACCTCTGTAGTCTGGAGTGAAGTGGAAAACAGACAGATTCTGACAGATTTAACCATTGCATGAGCCACACGTGTTGTTTTAAGCATGTATGTGTTGGAACAAATGCTTTGGCAAAAATGGGCCGGGCAATGGCCATGTTGCCCCTTTAGTGCCCAATAACACCACCACCACCCTTTCTCTTTTACCTCTTTGCCTAAAAAACACACAGCACACTTCTCCCAGCTAAAGAAAAACGCAACAAAGGCGACGGCATCCTCACAAGGCTCCCACTATGTTACTATGGCCATAGATCTCCGGTGAGAACAGCTTGAACAAATGCAAACATGGGAAGCTATTCCACAGTAATCCCTCAACCCCTTTGCCTTTCTCCTTTGTAGTAGCATGGTTTGTTGCACCCCTTTGAATGATCTCAGATCCCATTATCCTTGATGCCACACATCATCTTCTTCCATTGCACTATCATTCCCCCTAATTTCCATTGTAGCTTCAGCATAAGATGCAGCTAGTACTGAAGGTGTTTAATGACCAATTAGCGATATTTTTGGACCAACTATGACGTCTTCATTTGGACCCAAGACCCATGGGGGCTCATAACCTTTCTCTACATATAAAGGTACAACATATCCATTACATCCCTGTCTATTAATCTTTCTAAGAACATTATCCAACATTTCCCCCCGGAATACTGTAATGCAAATGGCTAGTATAGGGATAACCATGCTCGATGTACAAATTTTGTATGTCAAAGAAACCTACCCTATTTGGGTCACAATAGTGGAATACTCTGATCTACCTAAAAGAAAAAGAGGGTATGCCTACTGTTGGTTTGCTTATCCACAAACATTTTGTCACCTTCTGATCTACCTATAATGCATTTTCTGATTGCACACATTCAGCTTCTTGCATGGTTCCATTCAAATTCATGTGCATACGTCTACTTAAAAAAGCATGTTTATATTCTAGCTAAAGCTTCAATAATACATTGTGTTCATATGTGCATTCCACTATTCCCCTGATCATATCATTTGATCACATATGTCGAATATTTCTTAATCATCTTGCTTAGTTGAGTATAAGAACCATTCTGAATCTTTTCGGAATTTACTTTGTGTTCATGTATGCTCAAGAAAATCTTCTGTATGCAGTGATATTTTACAAGAATCTGTTGTTAGATGTCCTGTTTGGGATGCTGGCTTTTTGGCTAAAAAAAGTCAAACAGCCAAAAAGCCAAAATGTGTTTGGCATGCACCCAAAAAAGCTAGGGAAACTTTGAACCAGTTTGCAAAGATCAAATTACCCTCATAAGTGCATAGGTGTTTTTACACCTTTGGAAGGGTAAAACGGGAAATTCAAGCAAAAAACAAAACTATGACATCATCCATTCACATTTTCCCATACAACTAAAAGAGCCATTCCCAAAAACATTATAAAAAAATTCTCCTAAAAAAAACCAAAAATCCACTAAAAAAGCTAATCAAACACCCACTAAACATTAAATCCAGCAACTACCAGAAATAAGAGATGACAAACTACCAACATACTACACGAGTCAGATAAAAAAAAATGTATCACATTAAGAAAAACCAGAAATGTTTAATGTTTGTTATACATAATTATTTTTATTGTTCCCTAAGGGCATGCCTGTTGACCTCCTTTTGAGGCATTAACAACTGAGCCCCTCACTAAAATAAAGCAATAAGCATTCACAAGAAAGAATGCCCTTCCAACAGTTTATGAACTCAAAATCCTTGGGAAATTTAAGTAGCAATAAAATTGAAAACTAAGGGGAAATTGCGAGAGCAACTATATTAGTACTTGTTGAAAATGTGCATTATTGTTTTGCAGCAAATTTCATGGTATTTTAACACACCAATAAGAACTAAGGGAAGCACTCAGCCAATCTTCATACAACTTACCTGACTAAGCAACAATATTGCTATAGTGCGATCAAACATGCATTTCATGTAAAACACAAGCATAGGAGAAAAAAGAAACACAAACATATATGGGAAATGAAGCAAGTGGGATAAGTAAATAATTAACAGTGATTTAGAAGCAATAGTGTACTACCAGGTCATCATTTAACCCGCCAAAAGCCGAGTAGAGTTGATTGTCCAATGACAGTTCTTCTTCCCCTCTCTTGCCTTCTGAATCAACTGCTGCGAAAGCAAAAAACAGAAGGGCAAATACAATGAAACAAAGCACTCCTTTGACACCCATTTGTTCCAGAATCAACAATCCAAACACAAACTATCCTCTCATCTCATCATCATCATCCCCCAAAAAGAGAAACCAAAAACCTCTTTTATGTTGGTGTTCCTTCAAATCTCCCTCCTAAAGCCTATAAAAAGATGTAAACTTTCCAGCATTTATCTTCAAACCAATGTAGGTTTTCTTCTAGAAAACCCTTCAACCAATGTCCTTGGTGAAACACACACAAAATTTCAGCAAAAACACAGAAACTCTCAAACTAGCCAAAACCCAGAATTTGCTATTCAAGAAACGCCAAAATATTGAACCCAATGAAATACCCACGAGACAAAATCAAGCTATGGAGCTCCAATGAACTTTAACAATTCGAATCAATGCCTCAAAGCCCAAATAACATTCCCAAATTCCAGACCCAAAAGAAGGAATCTACAAGGAAAGTCCTTCACTTGGGTCTTTCTGTTTATACCCAGATTGTCCAAAAAGAAGCAAGCAATGTACAACAGGTGTAAAACAAAAAATGGATATTGGTTGACCACCAGGAAAATTGATACAATGGGGTAAAATTTTTCCCGGAAAGTTGTCGTATGAAAGCTGCCAAATAAATGGAGCTTTCCGTGTTGGGTTGTATTGTATGATTTTCAGACTGCGTAGAAATTTGGAATATTTGTTCATTTCGATTTCTTGAATTTCGTTTCCTTCAAAACATTAATAATGCGAGAATGACGCTGACAAGGGCCGTCTTTAGAGCATCTTAAGATTTTGGACTTTATGGGAAATTTGGAAAAGTTGAAGGGCCTATGATTAACCACTCAAAGAATTTGGGTATTAGTTCAAAAAATATATTTAGGCCTAGTTTGGAAACAGGTTTTTTTAGTAATTTTTTGATTTTTTAGTTAAAATGTGATGTAAAAAAAATTAATATGTTTGAGGTGATTTTTTGACTTTTACCAAAAGATGTGCAAAAAGTAGAGAGAAAAGAGAATCTTTGACTTTTTAGTATGAATTATTGACTTTTTGATTTTTTTAATAACTTTTTGACTTTTTGACTAAAAGGGGCACTTGCCAAACGAGGCTGTAGGCGTCGTTTAAGAAGTGGGTTGGCTTTTTGATTTTTTAGGTTTTTTAGCTATTTTAGTATGGGACTAAAAAGTTTAGTTTGGAAAAGATTTTTGATTTTTTTGATTTTTTTGTGATAGAAAGAACGTAATGATTATGAATTTGATGTGATACTAAAAAAACTTATTTTATTTTTTGTGACTATTTTAACCAAAAAAAAAAAAAAAACCCCCAAAACCCATTTGCCAACACATATTTTAATATAATTCTGCTGAGCTCTTTTAATATTTTTATTCACATAACATTTCAATCACCATTTTATCAATAATTTGTATAGATGAAAAAATGATAAGATAAATTATGAACTCCCTTAAATTATAACTCATTTTGTCTCCTTAAATTCAAAACATAACCGTTAATCATCTCGAGTTATTAGCTTGTTATAGTTAGAATTTTGTTCTAAAAATTTAATAAATATGTATATGTATCTAGTGTAGAAAAAAATTCTTGATTTTTTGTTTTATTTATTTTAAATCTTATTAGTTAGCCCATCAACCAATAAAATTTATAATTTATAATTGCCAACTCTATCGCATAATTTATGGTTTGCTCCTCGGAGGGATTTAGTCTCCTCGGATATGATACCTTTACAGTTCAGACTCCCGCGATTTTGAATTTGGTTTCACAAGTGCAATGTAAAACGGAAAAACACAAAAGAATCCAAATGCAACAAACTTTTTTAGAAAATTAATTTTGAATCACATGTGTTTATATATTATTTGATTTGCTCAAATTTCTAACAAAAGGGGTTAACTATAACTAAAATAAGGGAAACAAAAAGGATTTTGTTTAAATTTCTAACAAAATCGTAACATAAAGGGTTTTGTTGTAAGAAGATAATACTTTGATGTGGTTAATTGTTGAGTTTTGAAGTTCAGGGGCAAAATACAAATGAGTCATAATATAAGGGGGTTTACTTTAATTTATCTAAAATGATATTGCCATATCTTTTATATTGAAATATATATGTTATTTTATCTATCTGTGTATCTTTACATTATCTGCAGTAGTTTCAATATCTTTCGTCTTACTAAAAAAAAATCAATGTTAATCATGAAAAATTATAAAACCTAATGTATTTTTTACAAATATCAGGGAATGTTAGTGTAATTTATCCAAAGAATTTTAACATTCACAAAGAAGATTATTGTATTCAATGTAATTATGTTAAATTTGTAAGATTTATTATATTTTTTTCCAAATCTAAGTGAAAGATTAGTGTAATTTATCCAAAACTAATTTATCATCCATAATTAAATATAAAAAAAAAATGTCAAAAGTGACTAATTAACATAGAAAGGATTTTTGCCAGATGGATTGCATAAAATGGTTAGTTAAAATAGGAAAACATCTGTATTTTTGCTATCTAAAATAGTTGATAAGAGTTGAAGATGTTCAAAAAGGAATATTTGCTACGTCGACAACTGTTCTCATGTTTTTGCTATCTAAAATAGTTGATAGAGTTGAAGATGCCCCCAAAAGGGAAGATTGTTATCTCTACAACTGCTATTGTTGCATTAAGGAAAGTGTTTCTACATATCTCAAAAAGGAGGTATATGTATGCATCTAAAATTTAAGTCACAATGGTTTATAATTTTTTTTCTTATAATTTAAGTCATAAAAACCAATTTAATTCCTAAAAAAAAGAAAATAACAAAAAAACCCACAATCAATGCTTGTTCATAACAAAACATCTGAAAACCTCATAATCAAAGTCAGTTCAATCCACAACCAAACAACACCAAAGTCTAACAACTAATAACAATTTAAATTATAACCAAAAATACCATAAAAATTGCATAATCAACAGTAGCGAAGTGTCATAACTAGGTTTATCACAAATTTAAGCACCACAAAATTTCATAATTAAGCATCAACATGATTCATAACTACTACTACAAATTTTCACCACAAAACATCTGAAAACCTTCTCCTAGACCCTCTACCTATAGTGGCACCAGTATTCTCATGGCTAGAAATTCAAACATCCACCAAACTGATACCAATTTTGCTTTTTGAAAAAGTAAATATATGGAGATGCCAAAACCAAAACCATATTTCCAAAATTTAGAAAATACAAAAAGATCATGAGAGGAGATTCTTGATGAAAATAGACATCTGCTACATTGATAGTATTCCTTTCACACATATTGCAATAGATTTTTGCTTACGTAATGAAGATTACTAAAAGAGTTTTATAACAACCTTACTAGCTAGATCAACTGTGAACTAGGCGTATTAGATGTGAATTAGCTTGTGAATTGGTTATAAACCAATATGTATCGGACGCAATTGATATGCATGTGATTTTCATTCTCATCAGGATATCCGGGTGTACTAGTATCAGAAGAAAAAATACATGATACATATTGGTTAATACATTATGTATCCAAAGTGGCACTAATTAGCGATTTTTTTGTGCCTCAGTGTGGCCCCGGCTCTTATGGGCAAGAAGCACACCGCTAGGGATCCTCAAGTGCGCATGCAGATGTCAATCTGGTGATTCTCTCAGCTCCAAATGACACGAAAAACTAGATGGTCAGAAGTGACACTAATTAGTGACACTTTTGCGCATCCAGGAAGCATGGGAACCCCAAGTGCACGCCCCGATGTCATTTGGTGATTCTATCGCCTCAAAATGGTAACAACTTATAGAGAAATAAGAGTAACAACTCTAAACTCATGTTTGTGCAATCTTACACAAAATTACCCAGAGAGAGAGAGAGAGAGAGAGAGAGTGATTAATGGAATAAAGTACCCAAATGGACAGACTTTGCATCCGTTGACAAGAAAATTGCACATCTTTTGCCACATTTTCTACAGATATAGAAGAAGAAAGCCACTTATTTGCCATGGGTTACACAAGGAATCTACCAATGCCTAATCAACCTGCCACAAGTCCTTCTTACCAATAAGCAACATCCATAAAAGAATTATTCCTTTAGCTTTTACAGTCCAATAATTCCAAGAGAATTTGTTCTCTACTTTTCCAAAAGGCAACACTCACACTATAAGAATCATAAACATCTTTGAAAATTTTAACCCACAATGAGTGGTTGCAGGCAGCTTGAAGTTCGATCAGAAGATCGAACTCCACAGAAATGGTGTGTTCCAATGACCGAAGACGTTTTTGGAACCTTGATTTCCAAAGGTAGTCCAATGGCACATACTGTTTTTGGGGATGGATCGTTGTTCAGTCCATTGTTGTTTGGAAAATTCTTCGATCCATCTGATGCCTTCCCACTATGGGAATTTGAGTCTTCTGTTTTATTATCTAGACTCCGAAGCTGCAATCAAAGCACGGTTGATTGGTCCCAAACAGATGTTGATTATGTTCTAAAAGCAGAACTACCAGGTAAGTATTTGAATAATTTTGAGACTTTTCATTCTAAGTTTCCAATGGACTTCTTCAGTTGGATCTCATGCTCATGAACCAAGGAAAAAACAATAAATATGTTCTCACACCGCAGGATTCAAACCTGTGGAGTTAGAGGCATTATTCCTCGACTCATTATTTCACAGGTAATCAAAGGGAGACCCGGAATCAAATTTTTTGTTGGGCTCCATGGAATTTGAAATATATATAGATATATATTTGCTAACTTACATGGACTTATATTGGAAGAGTTGGGGATAAAGCCAAAACTCCAGAGGTTTTTTTATTTCAGAAAGTACTTTAGCAGAGATGGTGCATTTTTTTTACACCAATGATTTGTTAAAACAGGAGTTGGGAAAAGTAGCGTTCAAATCTATGTCGAAGATGGGAAGGTTGTGGAGATAAGTGGGCAATGGAAGCAACAAAACGAGTCGAAAACAAAGGATTGGAGAAGCGGCCACTGGTGGGAAAATGGGTATGTTCGAAGGCTTGAGCTGCCAGACAACGCAGATTGGAGGAAAGTGGAAGCATATGTGAAGAACGAAATAGCTCTAGAGGTTAGGATTCCCAAGAAGCCTTTGGATTGTGGTAAAACTCAAGGACATGATGGGGCAACCGTAGAGGATTACGAGTAACACATATTACAAGGACATGTTTATTTTAACTTAATGTGCTTGTGATTCAAGTATGTAAGATTGCCAATTTGACAGTGTATGATTGTATCGAGCCCTTTGGCAATCAGACAACAGGATAGGCCTGATGAAGAATATGAAAATGTATCCAAGTGCTGCATAAAAAGAATGGATCAAACTGTTTGTACTAAAGACGGGTCATGAATCAAACAGTAAATGGAATTTGTGGTCAATGCAACTGGTACAAGAATGAACAAAAAATTGATTTGGCGAAATGGGAAACCATCCCTGAAGGTGAAGGCAACAAAAATTATGTCTACTAAACGCAAAGTTTGGATGATTAGCTGTTCTTAGGCCCTAAGTAGAGTTTTGACACACCAAAAGCTTTCTTAATTTTTTTGAAGAACTACAAGTAGTCTTTGATACAAAATTGCAGCTTTCAACAACCAAAACCATAATATAGAAATTAGAATTAACAATGAAGATAATGCCAACAACACTCGATCTGAACAAGCAAGCACGATCAAACTCAAAACAAGAGCATTCCTTCTTGGTGCTACAAACTTAATGGAAAGCAGAATGATTATCATGCATAACTATGAAAACCTACAAAAAGAAATTGAGAAACTATCATTAACTATAATTTTACTCCGTAGTTAGGGGAGAATAATCACATAATGCTCAAGAACATCTTCATCAATCACTGATCATATGGGTAATATCATCTTTACTCTCCTCACACACACAAACACAACTGAACATAATTACACTAGTCAAGCTTAACTATGTGATTATATTGCATCTCAATAGCACTAATATCTATTCCTTCCACCAATCAAAGTTTTAAAATGGTTCTCAAATCCAAAATGATGCAGCTATGATTTCAATATGAAAATTATAAACAAAAATTATGTATTTACCATACACAAATCACATTTCACAAGATCATTTGCATTCTTTTATATATGCCAAGTGGGCATACCTGTTAGTGAATGTATCCTCAGGTAGTATCCATGGAAGTTGAATCAGCTGGCAAGAACTACACTTGATAGCCTAACAAATTATCCAAAACAAACAAAACAACCAATAAAACATCTAGTTGTCTACGATTCCAAATGTTGAATGCGAAATTAGCCTATATATGCATGAAAATGTTACAAACATAGACTAAATTCCAAAATATCAATTTCTGTGACTTCAACACCATCTATTGAAAAAATTTCCCATTGGCATCTTGTCAAGCATCTCAAAGTCTAAACAAGTACGTCACAAACCCATGTATCCATCAAATCCTGACAAAATTTATTGAAGTAGATCAGACATAGCTTTAGTTCATAACTTGCACCAAAAGATTAATATAATTGACTCAAGACTATATACATACAATACATTTTTTGTTCATTATCTACGTTACGATTACATTCATAATTGTTGTACATATCTAGTGCTATGCAATTTTATTTTATTTTTTCATAGTTTTGTCTCAACTAATTTCCGAGTACATATCTACAATATATTTTTAACACTTTTGAACTGGATTTTTTTTCAAGTCACTCAAAACTCAGTTTTTGAAATTCTCTCTTACAGTCAAAGAATCCCACGCCTTGATTGACTAAGATCTCTACCCACAATGTTGATTATGAATGGATAGGTCATTGTGGTGGTGTCCTTATAAATTTCCTAAACTTTTTAATAAGAGTCACGCTAACAAATGCTTAATAAAAAGGGAAAAAAAAAAAAAAAAACCACAAATAAAGAAAAGCAACTATTTGTAAATTTTTAAATTTGTTTGTTGATTTTTGGTTTTCTTACATTTTTTCTATTTTTAAAATAATTTTATTCAAATTTTATTATTAAATAATGCCCAATAACGACTCGTTAGCCTTTGCCATTTTATAAATTTCACAGATAGTTGGTAACAATTTTTAGTCACATTTGTTTCTCATTTCCTTTGTTTTTAATGAAAATTTTCTAAAACTTGTAAGAATTTTTTAAACAATGACTCTAAAACTTAAAAATAAATGCACTGAAAATCTAAATTAATAAATAAATCAGTAAGTAAATCATAAAAGGCCAAGAAAGAAACCCTCCTGCTACCACCACGTGGTGCTAGCTTAAAAAATAGTTGCTTGCAAGTTGCAACAATATTTTAAGTGGAGGTTTGACAAATATTTTTATTATGTTTTTTAGTCAATGTAAAAAAAATCTCAAACTGTTTTAATTTTAATTCCTAGATTAGATCATCTTAGAAAATAAAAAGCAAAATTTGGACGCAATATAAAATAAAAGGTTTAGAAAGAAAAAAAATCCATATATTGAAAACTTCGTCCATTTTTTTAAATTTTAGGATGGTTTAGTTTAAGGAAGAGTTGTACCTCCAGATAGGAGGATTCAAATTAGAGAAATGTTAGGGATCATGAAATTTTTTTCAAGAAAATGATTATGAAAAATTTGTGACCCTTAGATTAGTTTGATTAGTGTATAGTGTTTTATTGTAAGTGTAATTCAAAGGTCATAAATATTTCATGACCATTTTCATAAAAGATTTTTCATGATACCTAACATTGCTGTTCAATTTATTGTTTTTAGGCCCATTTTGGATGTGACTTGGTAATTTGAATTGTTTAGATTTTAGTGTCTTTTGAATAGATCATTCAAGCAAGAAATCAATTTGATCAAATATTGATAAGCACATATTTGAATTTTATTTGTTTAAAAAATGGATAATTTTTTTATTGATATCATAGTTGCCATCCATTTTTAATATTTTTCAAAAAATATTATTTAAACATATGATTACTAATAATTAATTAACCTAATTTTTTATATTAATAATCTACTCAAGAAGTACAAAAGTTGAATGGCTCTTATTACTGAAATTTTCACATGAACCAGATCCAAAATGGGCCTAAAGTGTAATGACCTCCATTTAAATAAGAACTAGAAAGTTACGATTTTTGACAGTAAAATTTTTTTTTAAAAAAAACTAATAAAATATTTGCCGAACCACATTTAAATATTATTTTGCAAGCAAATATTTTTTAAGGCAGCACCACGTGTCAGTGGGTGGTTTGGCAACATAAATAAATAAGCTCTATTGCATGTAATTATTTCAATTTAAGTGAGGAGTATACAAATAAAAAATTTATACATAATGATATGGCTCATTGTGAACTTTTTACTTTAAAAACAAAATATCATTACAGATGAATTTATTTGCAATACTAACATTGTCACATCATTCATTCTTATTAAATTTTTTATATAAATTTTATGTATATTTAAAATTTTTCATACTTGAAATGAAATCAGAGTTTAGTGGTTTAAATAATCTATTAAACCTATTATTTAGCAGGCCAATCCAATCAAAAAGGGCTTCAAATCCAAGTAGATTCAATTCCCCTCTCAACCTGCCATTTGTTGTGATTTAGCCCTTTCTTTCAAATCCATTAGTCTCTAATGGTGATCACTTTGATAAAGTGGTGGTTTACAACTTCCTCTAATTTTATATATATATATATATATATATATATTGGGGGTGTGAAGGGCCTGACCTTCATTATTTAAACTCACATATAAAGCTTGGGATAAATAGCACTTGAGTCCAAAACTTTTAATCCCAATGAGATTATACAAAATATATTTAAATCAATTTCTGAAACAGTAATAAAATTATAAAAAGTAATTGAATTATTGATTCAACTAAATAAATCACACTACCACCTTTAATTTTGTTTTTTAACTGGAGTGTCTAAATTTTGTTCAGATTAATCATGGAATAAATATTGTCTACTACCATTATATATGTATAAGAAAATAAGGTCAATCAGGTAATAAATTTAATTAAAAATTTTTTGGGACTAGTCTATTCTTTTAGGGCTAAAAGAACAAAATAATTTGAAAAAGAAATTATTCCGACCTATCTATCGATTTGTCCATGTCACCTATTGGTCTACCTATCGTTCAAGTGCCGTCTATCTCTCGACTTATTTGTGCACGTGTCATCTCACTATTAATGTATTACCTAATCTATCTATCTACCCATATCACCACCACTACCAATTGCTGCCACCACCCACTTTTTCAGTGACTTTTCTGGCAATGGCAATGGTCCAACAGCCGATCATTGGTGGTTCGGCAGTAGTCTGATGGTGATCTAGCAGCAATAGGTTAAAAATGGGAACATAAAGTCTTTCAAAACAATAATGTGAACTTCTCACTAAATAATTTTATTATTATGTCCTTATTTTCATAAAAAAACCAAATTTTGAATCTAATACCATATCACCATAAAATTGTACTTAAAATGATAAACACTAAAAATAATTGCACTAACAAAAGTGTCGGTGTATGCTAAGAATTAAAAGACATAAGCAACGTGTAGGACAAACTTTTATCACAAAAGAATATGGAATTTTTGAACTTTCATTTTATTTAAATCCTAACCATCAAAACCTAACAACACTTCAGTTTCAAGATGTATGAAAAAAGTAGTATTGAAGAGTTATGGGCCTAATGTGAGAGACCTTGTATTAACTTTTACGTTTGCATCAGATCAAAGCACTCTACAATGCTTGATAATGAGGCAATTGCTACCAAAGTACTTTTGTTATATCAAACTATTGACTTTTACACTGCCTGTTGATTGTTAAATAGTGCATTTTCATCATCAAATGCCATTAGTTTTCTTTGACTTCTCTTTAAAAAAATAATAAGAATTGGTGGTTATATAGGCTCATTCAACTCTTCCTATGTTGCATGCAACGAACCTAAATTCATTCATAACAACCAAACTCAATTATATACTACTCCTACTCTCTTGCTAACAACCCATCAGCAACTCTTATCTAATCTAACTCACCCCCTTAATGCTCCATTCAATTGATGGGAATGGGAAAAAGGAAAAAAAAATGTGGATCCCAATTGCAAATATAAATAAGAAATGGAGAAATTAATTATGATTATAAAATCAATAGAGTACAAATTGAGAATGGTAACTTGGAACATGAGTCATTTGTAAACTATTGATTTACAATTATTTCAGTGTGTTAACAGTAACCAACGTTTTAATATAAGGCAGAGGAGAGAGAGAGAAAAATAGAGAAATTTAGTAGTGATAGGGATTATCCATTGTACTTTTATATCCTATCATTTTATTTTCTTTACATATATACCTAAGTGAACTCCATTTTCACTTAACACATATCTTACATTACCGTTTTCATTGGAACACCTATTCACTCACTAAATTAATTGAGTTAAACTTTTGTCACTTTCTATCAGTTAATACGCCAATTTTGACAGTTCTAATGGAGATGCTCTTGCACCATCATAGGCTTCCAATTCACATTAAGGTGTAGAAGGTGCTTGATCACTGTTTAGTAATCAACATCAACTAAAGTTACAAGAATCTAATAAGCAATTAATTACTGTCTACCTTAAAATGGCAAGCAATGAACATCGACAGCTTTGAAAGAAGTTGAGTATTTGTTTTGATTAGGTAAATTTGGATCAATGATATTGGATTAGAAAGCATTATTAATATTACTATTTGATTATCTTTTTAAGGTATGTGTTAGTGTCACACGTTTAGCATATAATATATATATATATATAGAGAGAGAGAGAGGGAGAGAGAGAGAGAGAGAGAGAGAGAGAGAGAGAGAGGATGGCTGAAGAAGAAGCCAACAAAAAAGGGTAGAGAAAAAGACCAGAAAGGAATGCAACCAAGCACCAAGAAACGAATAGAAATACCAACAACTGCCACACACCATATGAGATGGCTACTTTTTTTTTGTTTTTTATATTTATATTTATTTTGTTAGTCTATTGAAAAAGAGAGTGGGTGATAAATTAAAGTGAAAATTCTTGACGCCATTTGGAAGCAAGGGAAAGCATTTAATTATTTGTAAAGAAGTGGGAAAATTGGGACCTCATTGTTCACTTGTTTGGGTTGAGAGAGAGATAGAGAACTCTCTCAATTTAATGAATGAAGGACTTTTTTTTCCGCCCTAATATTAATTGGTAGGTGAACATTTACTAGGAAAATTTTAATGAATATGTGTAAAATAATTAACGAAAATTTGTGATAGTGCACAAAAATATTTAAAAGACTTTGGTAATTCATAAAAAATATATTAATATTTTAATTATTTTGACATTATCTTCACCTTAATAAATTATCGTTAGCATTACCATATTTACGAATATTATTAGATTTATATCAAATTTTAAAAGAGTTTGGTAATTCATAAAAAATATATTGATATTTTAATTATTTTGACATTATCTTCACCTAAATAAATTATTGTTAGCATTACCAAATTCACGAATATTATTAGATTTATATCAAATTAGATATTTAACTACGTAACAAAAGTTAAATAAAACATTAATTATTACATAATAAAAAAAGTACAAATTCAATAATCACACCATAAGAAAGACAAAAAAATAAATACAAGGAAAAAAATATCCACGTGTAGGTACGAAAAGTCAAATAGTGAGGGATAGGGAATAGGAAATGGAGATGGGTGGCGACAGCGAGGAATGAGGTTAGCAGAGGCGCATGCGACAATGAGAAAAAGGAGAAGAGGGAAAAGGAAAGGGAGAGATGACGGCAAATATATAAAAAAAAATTGAGAATTCACAATTTTGCAATGATTTTTGTACTTTTCATTTTGAGTGTAATTGAAAAACAATAATTTTATTAGGAAAAATTAGAAAAACATTCATCTTTAATTTTGGATAATAGGAGAAGTTCAATATGTTTTTTTTTTTTTAATTAGTTAAGGTCTCTCAATAATGTTATTAAGGAAATTTTAACTCATTACAGAGAAAATTCTATTCTTCTCTTTGAAGAGTTGAAAATTCTCTGTGAAGAGTTGAAAACTCTGCGAAAATATTGAGAGACTCTAACTACTATGAAAATATTATATGTCCTTTATCTTATAAAATCTTAATATTAAAGACCTTAAACTAGAAATCCCATTTTATTGACTAGACAAAAGTTGCAGATTTTATCCAGAATTAGATTGTATAGTAAAAATTGAATTAGTGTAGCCTAAGTTGTATATATAGAATGAATTTGAATTATAAATTGATTTTTTTAAATAAAATTATGAGTAAATAATTTGATTTGTAGTGATGATGATTAAAAAAATTTATATAGTTTTTTTTTGTAATGTTTTACCCTAAGCTATTTTTGGGTAATTTAACTAAAAAAAATTGATAGAATAATTTCTAACGAATTGGAGAAAAAGATAGGAAAAAAATAGAAGAAGAAGAAGAAAGAATTGCCGAATTGGAAATATTATTTGGTAATGGGGGCATACTAGTCATTATGGTTTTCTAACGAATTTCTCTCGAAATACCGCCAGATTCCATTTCAAACAAACAATTCTGAACTATTCTCACGTCTCTGCAAACCCTCACTCACTGAGTCAACCCTAGCTTCATTAGAGAGAGAGAGAGAGAGAGAGAGAGACACTGGTGAGTGAAGCTTCAGAGAGAGACAAAACATTGAAAATTAAAAAAAGAAAAGAAAACCCAGAGAGACAATTTATTAATCTTTTTCTTTTTTTTTCTTCTTTAATTTTGTTTTTGGTATTGAAGAATTGATTTCTTGTCCAAGTTAATTTTTCTTTCGATGATGAGTTCCTGCAAATTAAAGCAACGGCTGTGATATCTTTGATTGCAATCCAAGGTCCCACCAGAAACAGACCCAACTTACCCCCCCTAACTCTCTCTCTAAAGCTCTCTCTCACATTCTTCAAATGGATTCCAAGAACCAGAACAAGCCTCCATCACCCAACACTTCCACTGTTGCAAGCCCCTCTGATGTAAGGTTTGATTTATTCTCAAATTCCTCTGCTTTTCATTTCTTTTGATCTGTTTTTGGACTAGAGATTGTGGGTTTTGAGTTTTTTTTTGTATTGATTTGTAGAAAAAATATTTAGTTGACGAAATTTTGGAAGATAGGCGGCCAAAGACCGGACTTTCCAAGATGATGGGGCCGGCGAATGGCAGTAGAACGCGGCAAGCCTTCACCATTGTGAATGGCGGTCGAGATCTTGGTCTGGTTGGTGGGCTGGCGAGCAATGGTAGTTCTGATTGCAGCATTATTGAGTTTACAAATGAGGACGTTGAGTCATTATTGAATGAGAAGATGAGAACAAAGAACAAATTCAATTTTAAGGTTGGTGGGTTTTTGAGTGTTTAAGTTAATTTCATTAAAGAATCATGAGGATTGAATTTTTTAGTGTGTTTATGTGTTCAATTACCGACCCCATTTAATGGAGTGTAAGGCTTGGCTTGGTTTGGTTTGGTTTATGTGTTCAATTACTTGTTTTTTTTTTTTAACTTTTTTTTTATAGGAGAAATGTGATCAAATGATGGAGTATATTAGGAGACTTAGGCTTTGTATTAAATGGTTCCAAGAGCTTGAAGGGAGCTATCTGTTGGAGCAAGAGAAGCTTAATAGTTTGTTGGAAATGTCAGAGAAGAAATGCACGGACATGGGTATGATTGGTTTCTTTCTGTTTTCCTGTTTGAGTCCCTAGAAAATTTGAACTGTTCATTTACGTGGGTTGTGATTTGCTTTGCTCTTAGAGTTGCTAATGAAGGAAAAGGAAGAAGAATTTAATTCAATTATAATGGAATTGAAGAGAAACTGTGCATCTTTACAAGAGATATCCACAAAGGCAGAATCAGATAAGTTGGTAAGTTTGATGGAAAACTTATATTGATTTTTGAAGTAGTGGCTTATGGAATTCTACTTTGTTAATCGATTTTTGGGAAGAATTGATATGTTGAACACAACGATTAGGCTGCAGTGGATGCTCTTGCAAAAGAGAAAGAGGCTAAAGCTACTG